TTCATGCCACATCTTCTCTATTACTTCTTGAAGTTTTAGTACTTTCTTAATCACTAGGGGTGTTTGGCTCAATGTGGAAATCTGCAAAAGGAATTGTGCATTTTATGACACCATTTATCAATATAACTGTACCCATTCACAGTTCTTGTGTCATCACACTAAAAAGAGATTGCCTTGTTTCTGCGAACATGGAAGTGGAAAAGGGAAATATATTTGAAGAGTGATCTGCTTACACTAAACAGTTAATAGCTTTTTATATGAGAAAGTAAGTGTAACATAGTGCGTCTAACTTTTTTCAGATACTCATTAAAAACATCTATAATGAAATTTTTCCAGAAGACAATGATTAGATGAAAAATCAGGCTGTATGAGTTGAAATAGCATGGACAATTCAATCATGGTTTTTAATCACTATAGAGCTCTGCACACAGGAAACCAGCTCCTAGCTCTTCACTAAGATTCCTATTTTCTGCATTATAAAGGTGGGAAACCAGAGCAGAAACTAGCAAGTTAGTCCTCCAAGGGCAGAGTGACATAAAGGATATTAGCAACTAGTAGCTCTTACTTCACTAGCTACAGATCTCAGTGTTGGGTGCTCTGCAGTCTACATCTCACAGGCCTTGTCACTTTCAGAATGCACATGCATCTTATTAGTAAAAGCCTTTATGAAGGCAAAACATACTTGAAACACCTTGTTTGAAATGACAATAGTCATGATGTATGACTGATGTATTGGTTTTTTGCATCCAGGGGGATATTGATGAGGTGATACATGCAACAGGGATTTTCCTCATTGTGGTGTAGTATCCTTTTGGAGAGTCTGACTACATGCTTGAACTTCTGTAAGAATGCAATAAGATGTACAGGAATCTCTCTTGCTCATTACCTACCCAGTCTTGTGGTCTCCTACAGTCTGTCTCTGCATATAAGCCAACAGTTGCTCTGACACATTGGAATATGGTCATGGAAACTCATGCTGACTATCCGATTGCTCTGATATAATCCTGAGGCCCATTATGTAGTAATTAACACACTTTCATGCATTACAGTTACACATCGCTTCAAATTTTCAGAAGTTAGAACACTTTAGAAATTCAAGTAGGGAAAGAAGAAGTGCTCTTGAAGTCTGGAAAGATCTATGTATTTTTAGTTTCTATAAAAAGTAATGCACCAGAACATTTCAGATTGTAATTTTTTTACCTCATCCTTGATTTTTTGGATCATTTCTTGCTCTTCCACTTGTTCAAAATTGAAATTTGTCACAGCACGACTCACTTCTCTATTCAAAGAAACAGGTATTTGCAGAGATCTAAAAAGTCAAACCTACTTTTCCATTTTATTTAGAATATTCATATGCCATCCCCTCCCTTAAGAGCATTTATTTTTGCTTTTGCTGAATACATGGCATCTGATACACATTTTCTGTAAATCCGAGGCTAGTGCAATACTAAAAAAAATCATCTTGCACTGTTTCCAGTTAAAAGTTCAGTCCTTTTCCAATTAGAAAAAGTTTCATCCCAGAGAAAACTGTTCCAACTTGACCTCTTTCAGGTATGTTAGCCTAAGTTTCCATCATTCCCAGCTAGCAGAGCCTGTGGTCACTGGAAAACCTCAGACATTAAAACATTCCAATCTTCTTCTTTAGATATCTGGGTAAACCTAGATGAAATTATCTTGCTATTTGCAAGGGCATACATCTGGAATCTCCACATAGTCTCAATTAGTGCTACAATCCTGGCACTAAGTTTCATGGAGTTCATTGAGGTTTTGGAGCAGACATTTATTGACGGCTGCACAGAGCATAAATTGGAGGTACTTCAATTAATAGTACCTACCATGATTTGACTAAAGTGTACCTATTGTACTGGTTGATGATCTGTTACTGTTGAAAAGGAGCCTATAACTGATAAGATTGCTCTTAAGTCATTAATAAAATGTTATGGACAGGCTTCAAAGAGTGCATCAAACCTTGGCTGGCTTCATAAACTAATTAGGATTCGTAAGCCATAAACCCTAGTTTAAAAATCACAATTAGCAATACAAGTCATTGTTGTCCCATCCCCACATCACATTACTGTAGGAGTGCAATGGCAAGCAACGTTTATGCTAGAGGAATATGTGTATATTTTTTCAAAGATGTAAATGTGCTAAGCAGACATGAATTGCATATCCTACAGGGTGGCCCTAGAGAAGGAGCTTTCTTTCTAAACATGTGAGTGTTCTTTTATGAAAACAAGCAACTTACTTTTTTACTGCCTCATTTGGTTCCAGTATCATTCTCTCCAGTAAAGTAGCCCGAACAGTTTCATCCTGCATCTTGAGAGTGATGATACTCCTACAGGCTTCCCTCCGTACACCAGGATCTTCTTCATAATGAAGGGCCCAGAGAAGAAGATCTTTTAGGTAGGGACTTACCTCACCTATCTGACCCAAAGCTGTCAGAAAAGAAAATGGTGTTTGCTTTGACATTTTATGTCAGGAAGATGAGCTTTTTGGTTGCTGTGACCCAGTATTTGTCAGGTATCTGAACAGACCATTATATATCTTATGTTCTGAAATGAAATACGACCCTTAACAAAAGTAAAAGTACCTTACTGAAGGATGAGTTAATTGGCAATCCCTTCTCTCTTGAAGCACAGAAGTGACTGTACCTATATTGTATCATAATACTATTAATTATAGTATTAATTAAAAACATCTTAAGAGTATTAATCTTTTTGCTGTACTCCTGAACTTAATAACTGATGCATTAATGCATTAAAAAGCAGATTTACTTTTAACAGAATGCCAGAATCCAAAACACACATTTCATATGGCATTTCACAGAAAGGAGCTGCAAGTAAATCATTTAAAAGAGTTAAGTGTGCTGTTAGCAGACAGTGCAGGATTAACAACTAATGGCCAAATTAGATTTGATATCAATACTAATTTCTATATTCAATGTGCACAATCTTAAAGAGTTATTTTTGCCCTGTATATTTCATTTACATTATTCTTATTATTGAGGTTTGTTGTATCCACTCATTATTGGAGGTAGGCAGGATACAATGTAAACACTGTAAGCATGTAAGCATGCTGCGGAATTCTGGGAGTTGAAGTCCACACATCTTAAAGTTGCCAAGGTTGGGAAACACTGGTTTAGTAAATAAATAAAATAAGTGGTGATAATTTTCTAGTTAGGCATTATTCAACAGGCAGGGCTGGAGAGTAACTTTTTTCCCTGGTAACATATATATATATCTCCCTCTTCTGAAGGCACCATTTGGAGAGGAAGCTGTCCTCAATTACTGCCTTGCAGCTTTTGTTTACATGCTGGCTAGGGAATTCTGGAAGTTGTGGTCCACACATCTTAAAGTTGCTGATGTTGAGAAACACTAGTTTATAGTGCATTCTTAAAAGCTTGCATATTAATTGCAAGTACAGATGGTCCTTGATTAACAACCACTCATTCAGCGACTGTTCAAACTTGCAACAGCACTGAATGAATAGTACTTACGACTGGTCCTCAGAGTTCTGGTTGTAACAGCATCTCACGGTCACATGGTCGCCAATTGCGACTTCCTTTGCCAGCATCTAACAAGCAAAGTCAACAGGGAAGCTAGCAGGAGGTTGCAAATGGTGACCATATGACATCCTCACTTAACAAGCCATGGTGATTCACTTAACAATGGCAACCAGAAGTTCCAGAATGTCATCACTAAGTGGTATGGTCATGTGACATCATGCTTTATGACTGCATTGCTTAGCAACAACAATTCTGGTCCCAATTGCTGTCATTGACTGAAGACTGCCTGTATGTATTTACAGGTAGTCCTTGCTTAATGACCATTTAACAATGGTTCTAAGTCACAACCTTGGAAAGGGTGCTTTACAGCCCATAAAGCACTTCTGACTGTCATAAAACATTGCAATGCCCCCCCCCCTCACAGTCACGTGGCCACATTTCGGGCACTTGGCAACTGGCTTGCATTTATGACCAGTTGCCAAGTGTCCCGTGATCATATGATCGTTGTTTGCAATCCTCTCTGCCAATTTCCTCAGAAAGTCAATACAGGGAAGGTTGCAAGCAGAGGGGACAGAGGGAAACCCCTCGGTGGTACGCAGCAATGGAGCTCAAATCCTGAAGATTTGGGCTCCGTTCCTCCAGCCCCACAAAGGATTTCCCCTCTGTCCGTCATGTGCAGGAATGTTTAAGAGCAAAAGAGCTGCCTGCCGGGAGGATTTCAGCTCTGCGCAAAGCTGAAATCCTTCAGCAGACAGCTCTTTTGCTCCGTCCACTTAACAGCCCAGGAGATTGCTTAACAACTGCAACCAGGAGTGCCCAAATTGCGGTCATTGAGCAAAGCAGTCATGTGGGCATCTCGCTTAACGACCGCTTCGCTCAGTGATTGAGATTCAGGTCCCAATTGTGGTTATTAGGCAAGGACTGGCTGTTACTTCCGGGATTAAGCATCCACCTGCTAGATAAGGAACATCTATATGTCTCTGTTATAGGATTGCTCTGAATCTCCCTGAAGCAATAATTCTATTTATGGAGGGCTAAATACTCCATTTATCTGAAAGGAAGGTGACACTTTGGATGATACTCTCTAAAACAAAGAGTAGGAAGAAAAAAAATGTATAAAGACAACTATTTGCCCAGCTTCACCATCTAATTGATCTAGAATTGCCAACTTCATCTGAATTAGATCCCAGAAATCCTCTCAGAAATATATTTATGTAACACACTTATGTAATACACATGTGTGGATACACATAAACATACCTGCCAGAAGCTACAGTCCAAACAGAGGGAAGGTCTAGGACAAAACAACAATTTGATTCAAAACTAATTAGGCTTAATTCCCTGTAAAACAAGGTATCCCCATTTGCTAAGTTAATTGATCCCCATCTACATTCACCAACCATTCTCTACCACATACAAACTACTCTCATGTAAAGAAACACACAAGTACATACATACCTACATACATACATATTATTCTGTAGTGGTTAAGGCACCAGGCTAGAAACTGGGAG